ACGTGTTACAGGCTACCACCCATCACCTCTGCACTCAGCTACCCATTAGAGACGCTCCTCTAATGGATATTACCAGCCGCGGCGACGTGGACGCGTGCAGTAGGATTTCGCGGCCGCGTCCGAGAGGCGGCACACCTGCAAAATCCAATTCTGTGGCTTTGAATGTTTGAGTCGACCACACCCATCACCTCTCGATCTCCCACTTGCGCCACGTTCGATCTCCATGTCTGAATCTACCTCAGCGCCACGCGAACCCGCGGAGCGTCCTAGGCCGCCTCCGAATCGTCGCAGAGACAAGCCGCAACGGTCGTGCACGATGTGTAGACGAAGAAAGTACCAGGCCTACTCTTGCCATCATTTAGGCTTTTCCCTGACAAACAGTTGATAGGCTTCGATGCGATCGAGTCTTGCCAGCTTGCGGCGCTTGTTCGAGCCGTGGATTGTCTCTCTCTTGCACTTACGTCACCACATCCGAACCCCACAGCACAAGCAACATACCCGGATCACACAGTGCACGCCCCCCTATTAATGAACGCATCAATCAACTCGAGAGCCTTGTTCATTCGCTCATGACCTCTCTCGATGTTGCACAGCAGGTGAATGTCAGCCCGCCCCTACAGAACTCAGTATTGGACCCGGATGACCCAGACTATTTGCCCGACAACTTTGGTCATCTCAACCTTGACAGTGATGGGCCACAGTATGTTGGTGGAGACCATTGGACATCAATTCTAGATGGGGTAAGTGCTTTTTTATATTATTTCATATTTGGGCTCAATGAAACTGATTACGCTCTCAAACAAAAGATTGCTGAGCTCAAGGACCATTTAAATTATGCCAGTTCATCATCCACACAAGGCCGTCATCAAGCGGATGAAGTTGAGAGTGATGGTCCGGAGCTTTTGTACGGACTCAACAATTACGCCAACAAAGAAACTATTCTTGCCGCCATTCCTCCCAAAGCTGTGGCTGACGACTGCGTCGCCAATTACATTCATGTTGCGGATGTAGCAAGTAACATCATGCATTTCCCCACTTTCCTCAAAGAATATGAGCGTTTCTGGGAGGACCCTGAAGCTGTCCCTATCATGTGGATTGGCCTTCTCTTCGCAGTTATCGCCTACAGCATGCAATTTCGCCAACGCGATGCCCCCTTCCTCCCATCTTATACTGACCATTATGCTCTACTGGACATGTACAGAGAAAAGACAGTCCAATGTCTGGTTCTAGGGAAGTATACAAATCCGACGCCTTTCACTATCGAGACACTGCTTCTGTATTTCTCTCTAGAGCGCCTCCGATCAACGGATATGAAACCAGGGAATTGGGTACTCGCAGGGGTCATTGTCCGCATAGCAATGCAGATGGGTTATCATCGAGATCCATCATTAACTTCCCAGATCACGCCATTCCAGGCCGAGATGAGGCGTCGACAATGGGCGATCATCCGCCATATGGATATGACCAGCTCTGCCGAAGTTGGACTTCCAAAAATGATCAACGAAGCCATTTGCGATACTGCGGAACCGAGAAACCTGGTTGACAGCGATTTTGACGAGGATGCGGTGGAGCTACCGCAGCCACGTCCAAACACCGAACTGACACCAGTACTCTTTCTTGTTGCCAGAAACAAGATGTTTTCCGTCTTCGGTGCCATCACTGATCTGACTGCATCCGCCCGTCGGTATACCTACAAAGACGTCATGCAGTTGGACAGGACGTTGCGCGAAGCCCGCTTGTCCTTGCCGTCTGGTCTGCAACTACGGCCGATATTAAATTCCCTCGACGAGCCATCCATCACCGTCTTGCGACGCATTTCCCTTGACATTACTTTCAACAAAGCGCTTTGCATCCTCCACCGTAAATACATGGTCGCGGCACGATCTAACGAAGCGTATTCGTATTCCCGCAAATCGTGTATCCAAGGGGCTTTCCGAATATTGCAACTTCAGGTTACCCTCAATCAAGAGTCGAAACCAGAAGGCAAGCTGCATCGACATAGGAGGAAGCTTGCGGCCCTTTTCGGATATGATTTCCTTCAAGCAATAACTATACTGTGTTTTGAGTTGTACTGGAGACAGGAAGAAGCCCAAAGAACACCAAGTGATGCAGAAGAGAGAGAAAAGATCATTCATGTACTTCAGCAATCGTACCAAATTTGGATGGAGTCAACGAAGACATCTCGCGAAGCACAGAAGGCCGTTGAGGTTATTGACATCATTCTGGCTAAGGCTGATAAGACCCATCAAGCCGTTGGCGGGGCGATTAATGGTGTACATGACAAGCCAGCAACCTCTGATGGTAAGTTCATGTATTGCATATAGTCTTGTTTTTATACTAACTATAATCAGACACTCAACCCGACGCCGCCTGTCAAAATACGCAAAACTCGGCACTGGATCCCGCTGGCTTCACACCAGATTACGACTTTCTGAACCATCGAGACTATTCCTTTATGAGTGTTCCAGGAGCAGACAATTCTTTTGAATTCGCCACCGACATTGACTTGGTAAGCCTCTTCCAGTTTTTGAACAATTCAGTCGTGTTGCTAACGCCGTCAATTTACTCACAGGACAATTGGGGAAGCCAGCCCGGCGAACAGTTTTTCAGCGACTTGTTTGGTCTTCAGCTGCCTTTCGATGACCCTTCTGGTTCTATGGACTTGACAGAGGACGGATGATCGCTTACTAACTTTTCTGTTGCACAACTATAAAATGGTTCTTCACCGCGTAGCAAAAAAACAAAATTCACTGAGTCGGTTCTGTTCCATGCTATGCTGAAATCTTGAAATTCATCGTTCCGGAGCATGATCAAACATGCAATTGGCCAAGGCAAAATGCACATTATATATACAAAAAAGTGAACTAAGTTTAGTACATACGGCCACAGGTCACAGAGAACAAGGCATCCCGTCCGCTCTGCCAAATTTAAGCTGTGAACCGGCTGATTAGTAGTTAGGTGGGTGACCACTAGCGAATCCCAGCTGTTGTATGTTTTTT